TGTTACATTTCCTTCTGTAGCTTTTGGGGTTTTTAAGCCTTCCTGGCCCTTTAGATGGAGACCTATCTCTTCTTAGGCTGGGTCTCACTCTCCTGGCTGGATCTGTACATCTCCAGCCTTTCTCCTCTAAGCCAAGGCTGCCCTTTAGGGTCCTTTGGGGCAACCTCTTAGTGTTTAGTGCTGGTGATTGCTGGGTATGTATGAGTGGGTACTGGTGGTGTTCATGCTCTGGAGAGGTAGCCACGGAGCCTGAATTTTAGGGGTCGGCCTTATGCAGGACCATTAAGAAGTCAGTTTCCAGTCTAGTCATCGTCAATGTGGGAAGAGGTACTGTTTCTTTTAGTTCTGTTCCAAATATTTTCCCCTGGGTGATTTCCTCTTTGATCCATATATTTGTTAGAAGTAGATTAATTTTCAAATCTTTGTTGATTTTGCAGGTATCTTTAATCTTCTTTAATTTTGTTGTCAGTGACTATACCCTGTACAGTATCTGCGTAGGAACTTCTAGAGGCTGCTTTAGGCTCAGCACGTGATGTATCTTGGGAACAGACCATATGTGCTTGGCTAGGACGGGTGTTGTGCAGTTGTGGGGTGGAGTCTTCTGTCAGCAAGACTAACTTAGGTCACTCCACGTGGTCTATAGTTCAAGTCTTCATTCTTCCTTATGGATTACCTTTGTCTGGTGTCCTCTCCGTTCCCAATGGAAAGCCTTAGATTGCTAGCCTGTCGTGCCTATTTCTCCCTTTAGTTCTGCCAATGATCTTTAAAGTTCAAATGTTAACTGCATGCTAATGAAAATGACCATTTTTATCATGAAATGCTCTTAGGTGTATTTTATTATTTTTACAATGCTGGGGCTTAAAACCAGGGCCTTGTGCATGTAAGGCAAACACTCTACCACTGTATGCCCTGAAGTCAGCTGGTATAGAATAGCAGCCTCATCTTCTTTAGGTTTGTCTTTTTCCAGGCTTCTACTTTAGTCCTATTTAAGTCTCTCCATAGATAGGTAGATAGACAGACAGATAGATAGATTTGAAAAGCATCCTTTATGGATGACATATACTTGTGTTTTACTTTTTATCACTACCTCTTTTCCCTCCTCCTCCTCCTCCTCCTCCTCCTCCTCCTCCTCCTCCTCTTCTTCTTCTTCTCCTTCTCCCTCTTCTTCTTCTTCTTCTTCTTCTTCTTCTTCTTCTTCTTCTTCTCCTTCTCCTTCTCCTTCTCCTTCTCCTTCTTCTTCTTCTTCTTCTTCTTCTTCTTCTTCTTCTTCTTCTTCTTCTTCTTCTTCTTCTTCTTCTTCTTCTTTTCTTCTTCTTCTTCTCCTTCTCCTTCTTCTTCTTCTCCTTCTTCTTCTTCTCCCTTCTCCTTTCTCCCTTTTCCTTCCTTCTTCCTCCTCCTCCTCCTCTTCCTTCTCCTTCTTTTTTGTGCTAATCCTGGGGCTTGAACTAAGCCTAGGCACTATCACTAACCTTTTTCACTCTAGGCTAGAGCTCTATCACTTGAGCCACGGCTGCATTTCCAGATTTTTATGAGTTAATTGGAGATAATTGGAGTTAATTGGAGATAAGAGTCTCACAAAGTCTGCCCAGGCTGGCTTTGAACTGCAGTCCTCAGATCTCGGCCTCCTAAGACGCTAGTATCACTATCTTTTAATTGGAGCATTTAGTCCATTTGTGTTCAGTGTAGTTTTATAGATCTAGAATACCATTTTTCCTATGCCTGTTTGCATTCTTCTGATTCATCCCCCGGTCCATCCTGTGGAGACGTTTGTTATACGTAGCACAGAAATGGATTTAATTTTGGAATCCAATCAGAAAGCTATTGAGTACATTTATATTTTTACTTCATGTTATTCATATTGCTTCATATTATGAAGAACAAATGCTAAGGAATTAAGGCAACCTTGTGTCCAGAGAGAGAAGAGAGGGAAATATTTATGGTGGTGTCAGATTATCTCTCAAATATAAGATTGGCTGTTGCGTCTTTGGCCCCAAATGACAAATGAGCAAATCAGTTGAACTTAACCAACATCCCTTCTTTCTCATTCCCCTCCCATATTCTGTTGGTTGCATAACCAGCTCTATACCCATAATCCCCATATGTTTTAGACCTAATCCTGCAGGTAAGTAGATTCAGAGCTGTCTGCCAGACCATTTGCTAGAGTTCTCTGGTTCTCTCTTCCAAGACTGGAGTTAATCTTCTTGTTCTTCCAGAAAAACTTAAGGGAGCAATATTTTTTGAGTTCTTACATGTTCAAAAATGTCTGTCCATTGTTTGTACAATTGAGTGACAGTTTGGCTAAATATAAAGTCCTTGGACTTCCCTTCTCAGCCTCTGTGAGCATCACTCCATGGTCCCTGGCACAGATATGGCTCTGGAACATTCCGAGGACAACAAACACTTTACTCTCATTATCAGTACAGTCTTTTTTTTTTAAACCTTGCTAACAAAAGGACTTTATTGGTCAGAAGTCTAATTCTGCTAGAGCATATCTTTTTTTTTTTTAGTGGGTCGGGGGGCTTGAACTCTGGACCTAGGCACTGTCTCTGAGATCTTCAGCTCAAGGCAAGTGCTCTACCATTTAAGCCACAGCACCACTTCTGGTTTTCTGGTGGTTAATTGGAGATAAGAGGCTCACGAACTTTCCTGCCCAGGCTGGCTTTGAACCTTGATCCTCAGATCTCAGCCTCCTGGGTAGCTAGGATCACAGGCATAAGCCACTGGCACCCAGCTAGAGCATATCTTAATATTGACCATTCTATAGCCTTTCTTTGGACTTAAATTAGAAGACTTCAATTTCAACAACATGCCACTTCTCTCATTTCCCTCAGTATTCTCTCCTGCCCTTTTGTCTCCAGTCCTAAGCCTTGAATTCTAGGCCTGGTTGCTATCCTTGAGCAGCTTTTGCTCAAGCCTAGCACTCTACCACTTGAGCCTCAGCTTTTTCTGTTATTTATCTGGAGATAAGATTCTCACAGACTTTCCTGCCTGGCCTGGCTTCAAACCATGATCCTCAGATCTCAGCCTTCTGAGTAGCTAGGATTACAAATGTGTACCAACAAATCCTGTCCTTTTTTGTTGTTGTTGTTGTTGGTCGTGGGGCTTGGACTCTGGGCTGGGGCACTATCCTGTCCATTTTTGACTCTTAGTTTTCCTCTCATTTTGCTCATTTCATTCTTCCTGCCCTCTACCTCCCTTCCTGTTTTATTCTGAGTCTTCTGCTCTTCCTTTCATTTCAAATAATTTCTTCTAGATCTTTCCTGAGCTCTGCCAGGTTGAATCTCCTTAGAGTTTTGCTGCTCTGGATTCTGGTTTTGTAGAGATACTTTGTAGAGATAATTTATTAAGCTTTGTTTTGTTGATTTATAGCTAAATTGCCAAGTGACCCTTTCCACTGGCTTCTGGGTTGCCTTTCATTTCCCCCCTTTCTTTCCTTCTTTTTCCATGTGTTATCTCTGTAGAATGAGTAATTTTCAACTGAGGAGGCATTTAGAAAAAAGTAGGAGCAATAGAAATTGCTTGTGGTGTTTGGGTCAGGCTATACACTGGTGAAGAAAATGCCTGTGCTTAGACATCATCATGATGCAAGATGCCATTGATGGAGTGGGTAGTAGCTATTGCCCCACAACAAACAGGCCAATTCCACATAACTGAGAATGCTATGTATTGTCAGTTTTTCATTCCTATAGCAAAATACCTATAGCAAAAACTTCCTTATATCAAAATTTGAGAAGAATGAAAAGTCACATTTATTTGGCCTCTGGTGAGGGCATAATGATGGATGATATCACATCATGACAGGAATATATGTAGAGGAATAAATTACATCACCAGATAGGAAGCCAGTTTGGCTGTAGGTTAGACCTTGAAGGTTAGATCCCTACTTCTAAAGGTTCCATATTATCATTGCCACACTGTGGACCAAGCTCCTGACACATAAACCTCTAGAAGGGAGCACTTAAACATATTTAGACCATAGCATCCTGTGACCAGGAAGGAAGCCCTGACCCTTGGAGGGGTGAGGGGGGCATCCCAGGCAGGAGCCTTTCTGTTCCTCCAGCACTGAGTGGTCCCCAGAGAGAGGCCAGCCCCCAGATCGCTCCATCAGACAGAACATGCCTGTGTGAGGCCTTATCTTGTCCAGTGTCCAGTGTCCAGCTCCTTTCTTAGAACCAGGCTAGGCACTAGGTCTTCCTGCCACCTCTATTGTTATCATACTCCATTTTGTTGCTATAACAAAATGTCTGCAACTGAGTATTCTATGAAGAATAGAGGTTTATTTAGCTCACAGTTCTGGAGGCTGGAAATCCAGGAGCATGGTGCTGGCATGTGACAAGGGCCTTCCTACTGCTGAAGGACAAGCTCATTTCCTGACAAGATGGGGCAAGCAAGCGAGCTCAGTCTCTCTTTTAGGAAGCCACTCAATGCTGTCATAGAGACCCCATTCTCTGCCCTCATCAGACCCTAGTTGCCTTCCAGAGGCCCCAACACCCAGATACCATTGATAGATGAATTTGCAAGGGTCATATTGAAACCAAAGCACCCTGTCCACAACCTGGGGCTTCCCGTTACATTTTTCAGGGTTCCACTTACCTCTACAGAGTTTGTATTTCTCGTTCTTCTCAAGCTTTGGGGTGCTGGTCAAGGCGCTGTATGTCATCCTTAGGCTAGAAATATCACCTCTGTCCAGATGCTGGATGCAACATGTTCCCCATGTTCACGGCCTCAAGCCCCAGCCCCAAGCTCTCCCCCAGGGGCTGGGCCTCCAAATCTACTGTTCAGAGAGCTACTTACTGATCAGGGCTGGCCCAGGGCAGCAGCCCTGCGGGGAAGGGCTGAAGTCCTGCATCACAGATGAGGAGGCCAACTTGTCATCCCAGAGTCTGTCACTTTCCTGGGCAGGGCAGGGAGGGATGGGAGCTAGCCATGGCTGAGTACCCCATCCCCGGGTCTAGTAGTACCCTCACTAATGCTTCTCCCTACTTCCTTGTGTCTTACAGGTGTGCAGCACTCACGAACTCACTAATCCAGGGATCGCTGAGGTCACAATTCGGCCAGACCACAAGCTGCTGGCCACAGCAGGCTGGGACCATCGTGTCCGAGTGTTTCACTGGAAGACAATGAAACCGCTGGCCGTGCTGGGCTTCCACAGCGCTTCTGTCCATTGTGTAGCCTTTGCTGCCAATGGCTTGCTGGCTGCAGGGTCCAAGGACCAGCGTATCAGTGTCTGGTCTCTGTACCGACCACGTGACTCAGCCACACCCTTCTTGGGAGAGTCAGAGGTGGGAGGCAGGCATTTCACTGCAGCCTGACCTGTCCTGTGGAAACTGACTCTCAGCTGGGCACCATGTGATAGCTGGATGCTAGTGATGCTGAGATCTAAGGATCAAAGGTTGTTTGTTAGGGCTGGGAAGGTGGCTCAGTGGTAGAGCGCTTGCCTTGCATGCCTGAGGCCCTGGGTTCAATTCCTCAGCACCACATAAGCAAAAAGAAAAAAGCCGGAAGTGGTGCTGTGGCTCAAGTGGTAGAGCGCTAGCCTTGAGCTGAAGAGCTGAGGGACAGCGCCCAGGCCCAGAATTCAGGCCCCACAACCGGACCCCCAAAAAAAGAAAGAAAGAAATCCCTGAGGGAAGCTGGATATGTCCCCAGGTCTGTGGGATCCACCCTTTCTTCACGAGCTTCCCTCTTCCCTCATGAGCTGTGTCATGCATATGATCGTGAACTTGATGCCCAAGCCAGACACCTGGCACCTGTGGCTTGGAAAGAGGCATAGCTTGGGCCTGGCACCATTGCCAACTGGAAGGTATCTTATAATAAACTTCTACTGCAAACCTGTAGGTTCAAGGTGTGAACTCTCTGAGGAGACATCCCCAGGGCCCCTGCATTAGGGTCAGAGTCCTTGGATGACCCCTGAATGGAGCCTTCCTTGGTCTTGCTGTGGAATGAGTAAGCCTGAGTTCAGGAGTCCAGGGCTGGGCCTCTACAGGCTGTAGACTCCAATCATGGCCTCTGCCAAAGTCTCCCTGGCAAAAATGGTCAGGAACTCCTAATACCTAGGACCGAGGCTACGATTAAGAAAAGGATGTTAGTGAACTCCCTAGAGATCAAGGCAGAAAGGGGACCAAGAAGTAGGTAGGACCGTGGGAGCCTGTGGTGTACAGAGAGGGACCAAAAGGAGGTGCCTGTTCCAGACAGGGCAAGCTGAAAGGGGTTGGAGCTGTCTCCGGTGTGCCTGGCAAGCGGGACATGGGCCCTCTGATGACCAGGGGCACAAGCAGAGCTGTGTGCAAGCACTAAGTACCAATGCCATGAAAACTAGGGACAACTCCCAGAACTGCCTTCTGCCCTTGGTAGCTGGCTAAGATCCTGACAAGTAGGTAGTGAGAGGAGAGGAGTAGGACCCTAGAAGTAGGGGTGCAGCCTATGGACAGATCCCTAGAAAGGGGAACCCCTTTCGAGACCCCTATTCTTCCATGATGACCAGAAGAGCCTCCTTTGCTTGAAGAACTGGAGCCCCTGCCCTGGGGAGGGGGTGGTGCTGCCCTCTAAGATGCTGCTGACCTCACGTTCCTCCCCCGCCTCCACCCCACACCATGTCTCTAGCTAGATGTCACAGCCAGCATGCAGGGTTGGGGTATCCATGCAGAGAGTTAGCAGCAGACAGCCTGATGTCTCCAGCTTAAATCAACAGAAATCTGGGGAGCATGTGTGGGATGGAATGAAAGGTATGGGGACCAGGTGGTTGGAGTGTGAAACAAGTCAGGTTATTAATTGAGACAACCGCAGTGCTGAGGATGTGGGCTCAGTGTTGGAGCTCCAGAGCTAGAAAGAGCTGATAGCAGGGTTGGTGGCAAGTTGTCTTAAACATACTCCAGCTGGGTGCTGGTAGGCTCATAACGTGTAATCCTAGCTATTCAAGAGGCTGACATTTGAGGATCATGGTTTGAAGCCAGCCCGTGCAGGAAAGTCCATGAGACTCTTAATTGTGCCTTCAGTGATAGTTTCTAGCTTTGAGCAAAAAAGCTCAGAGACAGCCCTCAGGCCCTGAGTTCAAGTCCCAGGACCAGGACATACTCATGTTGTTGCCTTGTCTGCCTGCCTTGATACCCAGAAGAGGAAGGGACCCTGCAGCTGGGGGACAGAATCTTGGGAGGAATTTGTTATGTGAGGCCTGCGCATCCCCCATACTGAAGGTGGAGATGCTGGGTGAGCCCAGACTTCTCAAAGAAGGCTTGGTGGTTATTCTCTGACCATCAGAAGTTATGGGGGGAGAGGCTGGAGGTATAGCTTAGGGATAGAGTGCTTGTCTTGCAGATATAAAACTCAGGATTCCAATCTCAGCACATGCGTACACACACACACATGCAAAGTTACACACACAAGACAAAGTTACCATGGAAACTGTTGTCCCCAGCCTATGGTCACTGAAGGCAGTGCGCTGCCAGGCACCAGTGGCTCACCCCTGTAATCCTAGCATCTCAGGAGGCTGAGACCTGAAGGACCACAGTTCAAAGACAGCCCAACCCAACCAGAAAAGTCCACAAGACTCTATCTCCAATTCTCTAGCAAAAAGTAGGGCTGAAGGCATGGCTCAAATAGTAGAGCACCAATTGTTAGTAAGCAAGCCAAGCAAGTATGAGGCTGCTGAATGCAAGCCTTGATACTGGCAAATAAGTGCAATGGAAATCACTGGCCTAGCATGGCAGGGGTCAAGGAGGTGGGATTTAATTGCCAAAGACAAAGCTAGAGTGAGCCCCACAACAAGCGTGGATTCAGAGTCTAGACAGAAGAGTCTGAGTGGCAAAGACCTATGGCAGAACTGGCAGTCAGGAGTCTCTAGAAATGGAGTGAATGGGCCATGGATCAAAGTTGACTTGGTCTGCAGAAGCAGGTGCTTTGGGGATCTGGTAATTAGAAGTCAGCCTGGCTCACCAAAACAGGTGTGGCCCCTCAGCTACCAGCCCACACCCTCCAGCAAAGTGTTGGGAGGGTGGGGGGATCAGTTCCTTTGAGAGAAGACCTCTGCTACTATGCCAGCAGCACACACTGCCATCCTCCTCAAGCCTATCTAGGACCCCGCCCTGTCCCAAATGCTCTCCTGTCACTGGGTCTGCCTCTCCTCAGACCCAGGAGCCCCTGGAACCCCTAGAATCAGGACAAGAGCCCGTATTTCTCTCAAGAAGGTGGAGGCTGTACCTCACCCCCATCCCCTAATACATTCCTGTGTCACAAACATGAACTGGTAGCCATGAGGTATGTTTCATAGGTCCAAGGTGTTGTGAATTGATCTAGGTTTGCTAAATGCAGAATTGTTCCTTTCTAGAATTTATTTTATTTATGGAGATATTTGTTGGTTCATTCACTAATTCATTTTGCAGTGCTAAGGATTGACTCCAGAGCCATTTACACACAGGGTAAGCACTCAGTCACTTGGCATGCTCCCAGTCCTGATAGATTGATTGACTTGAGCCAGTACTGGGACTTGAACTCAGGGCATAGGCATTGCCCCTTAACTTTTTTGCTTAAATCTGATGATCTACCACTTGAGCCACAGCTCACTTCCTGTTTTTTGTTGTTGTTGTTGTTGTTATTGTTTTTGGGTCCGGTCATGGGGCCTGAACTCTGGGCCTGGGTGCTGTCCATCAGCTCTTCAGCTCAAGGCTAGTGCTCTACAACTTGAGCCACAGCGCCACTTCTGGCTTTTTTTTCTTTTTGCTTATGTGGTGCTGAGGAATCGAACCCAGGGCCTCATGCATGCAAGGCAAGCGCTCTACCACTGAGCCACCCTCCCAGCCCTCACTTCCTGTTTTTTGGTGGTTAATTAGAGATAAAGTTCTCATAGGCTTTCCTGCCCTGGTTGGCTTTAAACCACAATCCTCTGATCTGTCTCCTGAGTGTGTGTGTGTGTGTGTGTGTGTGTGTGTGTGTGTGTGTGTGTTGATCTTAGGGCTTGAACTGAGGGCCTGGGCACTATTCCTTAGCGCTTTTTTTTGCTTTTTTTTTTTTTTCTACCACCTGAGCCACAGCCCCACTTCTGGTTTTTGGTGACTAATTAGAGATAAGAGTCTCACAGAATTTCTTATCTGAGCTGGTTTCAAACCTTTCCGATCTCAGCCTTCTGAGTAGCTTGGATTACAGGTGTGAGCCACCGGCACCCAAACTGGCTTTCTATTTTTTAATTTTTTTGTCAGTCATGGGGCTTGAACCCTTAGGCCTGGGTATGTCCCTCAGCTCTTCAGCTTAAAGCAAGCACTCTACTGCTTGAGCCACAACACCACTTTCGGCTTTCTGGTAATTCACTGGAGATAAGAGTCCCACAGACTTTCCTGCCTTGGCTGGTTTTGAACCATGATCCTCAGATCTCAGCCTCCTGAGTAGCTAGGATTACAGGCGTGAGCCACCAGTGCCTGGCTATTTGTTGATTTTTTTGAGACAGGGTCTTAGCCCAGGCTGGCTTAAACTTGAGATTCTCTTGCCTCTACCTCCAAAGACTGGGATGACAGGTGCACACACACCATGCCCAACTTCTTCCAGAATGTCTAAAGAGAGATGTGGAACATGAGCTACCGTGTCTTATCTGGAGAATATGAGGCAGTGGAAAGGGGGTATAGGTAGGGGTGCAGTCTGCATCAGGTACCTTCTCCCCATTTTTGATAATACTGGGGTAAAGCTCAGGTCTCACCTGTGCTAGGGCGATGCTTTGACACTTAGCAGCACCCCTCTCCCACCTTACTTCCTAGGTATAAGAGCATAGATGGCCAACATGGAGCCCAGGTCCAAGTGGCTCCATGCCGTTAGGTGTATCTTGACTTCCACATGCAGATAGTCAGGCATCAACAGCCCTTAAGCTCTGTGTGTCTGAAGCAGCCCTTGCTCCTCAGTTCATATGAGCCATGAACCCTGAGGTGGATAAGGGGGCTGGTCCCCAGCCAAATTCATGGCCCCTGAGACATTACCAATATTATGTGGAAAGCTGGTAGCCTGGTCATTTATCTGAGCCAACTCTGGTAGAACACTAGAGTCCAAGGGTCTGGTCTGACACATATCCAGACCTGACCTGGGGTAGCCAGGAACTTTTTCTTTTTCTTTCTTTTTTGGCAGTTGTGGGCTTAAACTCTGGGCCTAGGCCCTGTCCCTGGGCTCTTCAGCTCAAGGCGAGCATTCTACCACTTGAGCTACAGCACCACTTCCAGTTTTCTGGTGGTTAATTGGAGCTAAGAGTCTCACAGGCTTTCCTGCCTGGGCTGGTATTGAACCGTGATCCTCAGATCTCAGCCTCCTTAGTAGCTAGGATTACAGGCGTGAGCCACTGGCGCCCAGCCAGCCAGGATCTTTTGATGGGAGATGCAGCTTGGGTTTTGTAGGGGGGGGGTTGGGAGGTTTTGTTTTTGGTGTGTGTGTGTGTGTGTGTGTGTGTGTGTGTGTGTGTGTTGGTCAGGGGCTTGAACTCAGGGCCTGGATGCTATCCTTCAGCTTCTTTTGCTCAAGGCTAGCACTCTACCACTTGAGCCACAGCTCTACTTTTGGCTTTGTGTGTGTGTGTGTGTGTGTGTGTGTGTGTGTGTGTGAGAAAGAGGGGGGGATAGATTAATTAGAGATAAGAGTCTCACAGGATTTTCTGCCCCGGTTGGCTTTGAACTGCAATTCTCAGCTCTCAGTCTCCTGAGTAGCTAGATTGTAGGCGTGAGCCACTGGTGCCAAGCTTTTACTTCTGACTTTTTGCTGGCTAACTGGAGTTAAGAGTCTCTCAGATTTGGTTGCCTCTGCTGGCTTCAAACTGCAGTTCTTGTATCTCAGCCTCCTGAATAGCTAGGGTTATAGGTATGAGCTACCAGTGCCCGACCAGAAGTTACTTTAATATCGC